AAAGCATCACAAAATATAAACATAACAATATGACACCAACAACACCAGAGACAAATATTATGCCCATACCTCCTATATTTGAATCACCTAAAATAGTTTTTATTTTAACAAAACAACAATCAGATCTTTACATTAAACATAAACCATTAACTGTATCAGTAGCCTCGCTCAGCCACCGCTCACCACACCCATTGCGAAATAACCAACATGCCTAACATGTCTGCAGCTGTAAGGCCCGACACAGCATTTGTCTAATAGAACATGTGGCTTTGAAACTTATTGCTGATGTAACTATTACATAATATGCAAACTGTTCATGATTAAACATTTGTTGCTATGCTTGAATTGAAAACTACTGAACACATTCATTCCAGCTTTAGTTGCCAGAATAACACAACTATCTATTTTATCTAGCAGCTTGCTTCCCTCCACTGCGAAAGCAAGATTTTCAGCTAAAAAAGTGAAAATTATGTTTCAGCTTATGTATTAATTTCTGTCCTCTTTAACAGTAACAAAAATATTGTATTCATCCCCATTAATGACTGAAATTCAAATTTTTTGTGTCCGTTTGTCTCAGTTAGCTATTCAGTTTCCCCATCTTTATTTACCGACTAATGTGATTCATGAAACCAGGTTTCTGTGAGTCTAATCTTAAAGAGTTAGTTTGTCACCAGTTGTAAATATAAAACATGTCTAACAGGAGCCATGGCTTAATGACACAACAATAGGCCCATAAGCAACATTATCTGGGTGGGCCCCAAATGAAGTACAACAGCTCTCCTTCTTTGCTTTTTCTTTTCTGGAATCCGCTTAAGTACCTCTTTTTTGGTATCCATCGTCGCTAACAGATTGATTGTAACAGTTATGGTTTTAATCTACGCTCTGGATTACCAATAATTCCAAGTCGTATTGTAAAAAATAAAATACTCAAATACATTGTTCTTTTAAGATCTTTATTGCGGTTTGAAACATATTATATGAGTGTATTTTTTACCAACTGTCTAATGAACTATTCACAGTTAATAACATAGTAATAAAAAAGGACCACTGTCTGCTTTGCTATTGGTGTCATGTTTAAATGGCTCACCATCTTGTTTTAATCTGGCATGTGTTGGGGTATAAATAAGGTCTGTACAGTCAATCAAATATCAGGTGGGTTTAAGAGGAATTTTTCGCACCATTACATCTGCAAAGAAACGTCCTCGTCCACAATTGTGTAGAGGGCCAACCAGGTGTCAGTGACGGGGCCCCAAGGAGGTCGGGGGGCCCTAAGCAACTGCAGTCTCTGCTTACCGACAGTGACGCCATTGAAAAAGGAGAGTCACCCTTATTTTATAGTAGGCCTAATAAGTTCTTGCTATTGTCTTTATATTAATGAACTAGCTTTTTAACCCCTAATGAATTTTTGTCAAGCTTACTCACAATTTTCACATGTTCATAACAGAGGCTAAAAGTAGAATAGAATAGAATAGAATTCAACTTTATTGTCATTGCTTTGTCACAAGTACAAAGCAATGAAAATAACTCTCTGCATTTAACCCATCCCCTTGCTTAGAAGTGGGCTGCCATTGTGCGGCGCCGTGTGGGGTTAAGGGTCTTGCTCAGGGACCCAGAGTGGCAGTCTGTGGGAGTGAGGCTCAAATTCAGAAAAATAAAGCAAACAAATGTTGTTTTTTTTTAAGTTTTGCTGCCAAGTTAAAAGCATGTGTTTTTGTTGTTTTTTTTCAGGTGTTTGGGAAATTGACCCGCGGGATCTCACTTTCATCAAAGAGCTGGGTAACGGCCAATTTGGAGTGGTGAAGTATGGAAAGTGGCAGGGCCAGCATGATGTGGCCATAAAGATGATTAAAGAGGGCTCCATGTCTGAGGATGATTTCATTGAAGAAGCCAAAATCATGATGTAAGTCCTGAATGTTACAGACCTTTTGTGTCAAATGAGAAAGATTATACGCCGCAAACACTACAGGAAAAACCTGTTAACCTCCTTCTTATTTGGTTCAAACAAGGAAGCTTCGCCATGAGAATCTGGTGCAGCTGTACGGCGTCTGTACCAAACAAAGACCTATTTATATCGTAACTGAGTTTCTTGCAAATGGATGTCTCCTAACCTACCTAAAGGAGGGGCTGAAACAACACCCGACAACGGTCCAGCTTCTTGAGATGTGCAAAGACGTATCCGAGGGCATGGCCTACCTTGAACAGCAGCAGTATATACACAGAGACCTGGTAAGAGGCAACGACCAACTGTTGAACATTTTAAACAAAATCACATTAGATTCAGGATAGGATAAAAGAAAAAAAAAAAAAAAAAAAAAAGATTCAGGGCAGGATTACGAATGATTAGGAATTACGTGACTGGTACAGTAATTCATTGATTATCCTTTATCCTGATTGTGTTGTTTGTTTTACCTTTAGGCTGCCAGGAACTGTTTAGTAGATTCTAACGGCACGGTCAAGGTGAC